ACTACTACTACTACTACTACGGACTAGATGCGGGGTTTGGGAAACCGGGCAGGCGAGTTGTTAATGGCACCTTCGTTGTCAGGTTCAGGAGATAAACGAAGACGTAAGTGCTGCGGAGCCAGGCGCTCCACAGCCTCTGGGAAAATTCCATCGAGTGCCTCCCATCACATGACGTATTTTCTGGCTTGTCCAAGCACGTCAATGCAGCGATCTGCAAGGCTTGTGTGCCTCGAGCTCTACCTCAGCATCCTCGGAAAGTGGCATTGGAACACGAAGCCGACGCCCTGTTTGTGAGATGGCCCCGCATCTGCCATGGAGTGCGCAAGACCAGCGTGGTGTAGCAAATTTCTCCGGCTGAAGATGGACTTCAGTCGCACCAGGTTTTGACACTAAGACACTAAGAAAAATTACAACTCAAAGCGATGTACCGCTCCGGGGTCAGTGCCACTTGCTGACATTCGCAACATGTTCGGGTGCAGCCCATGAAGCCAAGGGGGCGGGCAAGATGTACCGCTCATGATTCAAGCACGATCAAGCACGTTGAGTTAAAATCCGTGTCTGAATTGATCCGCTGTGCTACGGCACGAGGCAAAGATTCGAGCGACGCCACGCGCGACAGCAAACCTTCAGACTTTACTGCAATATCTCAGCACGCACGATTCACTCAACCCCTTTTTGGGCGGTCGCATCTAGTGCTACCAACGGGCATCAGCGGACATGCCGTCGCGGGGCAAGTTTCGACGAGCGGGGAAAGGCCTGCAAAGGTGGAAGCACTGCGCTTTAATTTCCGTCAGCTGGACTAGACCATGCGGCACAAGGAAAATTCACCCACTGACAACAATCATGCATAGCTTCTCAACATGAGCAAATCAAATGGCCAGGCTGGAGCACTCTTGATCACAGCACCAGCATGACGCATTGTTGGAAGCAAGCCTCGAGCGACGACCATGCACCTGGGCTTGAGCAAACTCCCGCACCCCTGCGACCTAAAGTAAGAGCATGATGATGCTACGTACATTGGCCCAATTCGGACCCTGGGTTCGTTCTGTCTGCACAAAACTTCACAGACCACAGTCATGATGCGACGTCTATCAGCTGGAATCCACCAAGGTCATCGGCTTCAAGACTTTGCAAGAAGCTTTCCAATCCCTTCCATAAATGTCCGTTCTCACCATGCTGCCTCTCTTTCCCTCAGTCCAAACGCTTCGTTGCTGCAACTCCGACCTCTCGATCACTCTCACAACTTCATGCGTGTCTTTTCCGTTCTGCCTGATTGCCTGAGCATTTCCCAGTCTGAGGCTCGGCTTGGGGTGCCACCTGCAGGGCCTGCGAAGCAGCGAAAGGTCGGGGTCATCTAGGTGGTTCGGACTTCCTGACTTCTGATGTTCCGTGGGGTTTTGAGGGCGACTCCAAAGCCAACGAGTCTGTCACTGAATGGGAGGAACTCGCTCGACCTCGTCAACGCAGTATTGAGAGTCTCGCCATGTTGAATCTAGCATGATCTATCTACCGCTGGCAAATCATCTAATCTATGCGATACTGTGACAAGCCAAGTTCTGCTACATGGCGACTGCACCAGAAGCAGGGCAAAAAACTGTGACCCTTGCCTGTTCCGCAGCAAACGAGCACTAGTCTCCAGCCGTAGCTGGGCCAGACTCGGAAGGTTGGCAGCTGGGAGGCTCACCATTACGCACCCATCTTCAAGTGCAGCTTCGTCGCCAAACACATCTAAGTATAGCATGCCCCAGAAAATCCTGAATCTGACACCGCTCACGGGCCCGTATGCCTCAAGAAGCGCTTCCGCTTCCTCCCAATGTCCACGAACGCGGCCTGGGCAATCAAGGGGCTTGTAAGCTAGCAGCTAGTACCTGTCCAAGAAAAGTTACATTCGGTGCCATTCCACAGGCGTTGTCGGCAGTCAGCTCTCGAGTTGCTGAACTTCCCCTCGCTCAGAATGCCGCAAGCAATCAGCCCAGCACCTTGAAACACATCATTTCTAGGTTCCAGGAGTTTTGAACATGGTGTCATGGTAGTATTTGTCGACTCACAACCCGGATGTTTCAGACACTTGCCAAGTCAAACAAGTCGGGCTCCGGCAGTGAGCTGACACATCTGCCACGCCTTCAAGCAACCAATCTGGATCTGCGCACATGGGTTCAAGTTGTATTGCACAGAGACACTCCTTTCACGAACCTAAACCTAGGCGCGGCCAATTGACCTACCTAAATAGGGCCCTTCTGCCCCTGCCCAAGTTTTCTTGTTCAGAAGTTGCAGAAGTTTGAAAAGCGGTGTGAGGGGTGAGGGCAGAGGGGTGGGCAGGGTGGGGAGGGGGGGGGGGAATAACGACCGACTCCTCCACGAGTCAGTTCCCGCTCCCGCTCGTGCCATAGAGCGTGGAGTTCGCACAGCTGCGGTCGGCGGTGTCGCTGGCGACGTGGTTCCACAGCAGGCTGCGGCGGCGAGCAGTCTTGGTGCCGGCGTAGTGGCACGGTGGACAACATGTGGAAACAGATGCAAGAAGTCATACCGACCATATTGCGAGTTTCGGCCCCTGACGGAGAGATTAAAGTCAATCCCGTCTTGGTGGAATATTTGTTTCGGTTCTCTTTGCGCTGGCATCATGATGCCAACTTCGAGTGCCTGAAGCAGAAAGTCGGGAGCTTCCAGCAAACTCAAAGCTGAAAAATGGCCCGCCCTAAGTTTACCTGTCAATGAATGCGGGCATGCACAGCGAAATCGGTAGGACAGCAATGGCCGCGCCAGCTAAACTCCCCAGGTCCGCTGCACACCGAATCCATTTTCTCGTGCCCCACTGCATCTGTCCAAGAGACGAATGTCTCGTGCATGACTGAAACGACCCCCTACACCTCGCAGCTGGACACCTTCGAATTATTTCGTGCTAATTTCTATACAAGCTTGCACTTACCCTTCTTCAGAAGGACTTGAACTGCTGCTTGCGGACACACAGGTTGAAGGACCTCACAAGATTTCCATCGTCGGAATGTCTCCTGCCTCCAGTCTTCGTCTCCGTCTCTTGGCAGATGAGGGATCACGGCTCTTTGTCAAGTGGAGCACATGCTTGCCCCTGTGACCTTCCACGAACTCATGCTCCTGGCCTTCGCTGATGGAACTCGAGAGATCCGTGGAGTGGGTGCTAATCTCAAACACGGAACTTGTCAATTGCAATTGCAACTTTTCCGTGGAGGACATTTGCTCGGCCACAAGCTGCTGCAAGCGGGACTGAACAGCCCACGCCGCCTCGGCATTCTCACGGAACCTGGAAGTGGCTTGGCGGATGCTTTGACGAGCACTGAGCAGCGTTTGCAAGTTGCGCTGCAAGTGCTGCAGTTTCGCTCCTTGCTGCTCGCACTCCTTGACCACCGCTATGTTGGCAAAGATGCCATCCTTGGCTTCTTTCAAATCCTTCTCAAGCTTCTGCTTTTCATCTTCTGCCTCCTGGGCTTGGTACTTGGCTTCCTCCAGTCGTGCTACAGCCGGACAGCCTTCGCAGCCTTCGGACTCCGAAGATGGACCTTGTTGCTGGCCCGTGAATCTCTCCAGCTGCTCAGTCAAAGAAGCTGCTCGATCTTCTTCCTCCTTTAAGGTAAACTGAAGCTTTGCGATGACGTCACAAGGGAACTTCACCTCTGATCCGGGAACGGCATCTTGCACGTGAGCTTCGACTGATTTGAGGATTTTTGTCTCTCCAGGGCATTTGTCTGCTCTTCGGACCTGCCCAGAAGTTGGAGCTACAAACCTATACTGCAAAGCCAGGCAATGTGGCCAACGCTTAGTCAACTGGACGACGTCACCGTCGTGCAGCTGCAAAACCTGATCTTTCTCCATCGGTCTGCCATTAACAAATGTGCCATTGGAACTTCTGTCAATAACCTGGAAAACTCCGTGTTGGGCATTCCATTGCACTTCACACTGAATAGCGCTTACTGTTGGGCCACTGATTCGGATCTGGCACGTCTCCTTCCGGCCTATGGACAGCCCGCCACCGATTTCAATCCCCGGGCCCTCTGCATGACTCAAAGGAACCAGCCTCGCCATTGCGAAGGCAAATCGCACTTGCAAAAGCTTTGCTTGTCATGTGCCGCTATTCGTGGCCGAAGGTGCAAAACCTAGATGGTGTGTTGGCGGCTTTGCGGGGAACTGACATTTACCCGATATTCCATGATTCCATACTCGAAGCGGCTAGCGTGTTGCACGCAATTCCGCTGCGAGTGCCGAGCCCAACAAGAGAACATGAAGCCGGTGGTTTCCTGCGCACTACCTTCAGTGCTTGTAGCTCGCAACCTCAGACGACTGCGAGCAGGCACGACAGCTCCCACCTGTGGACGACAGCAGCAACGACACCTTGATGCAGTCGACTGCATGTCGTAGAACTTGACTTCTAACTTCTTTTTAAAAAGCTATGCCATATGTGCGCAGTTCATCAGGCTCGCACTGCTGCTTCCCACTGAGATGCCTATCAGGGTGTCGCGCTCGATCAAAAACAGGTTGGGAAATCCAAAAGCAACATAAAAAAAAGCGTCATGTTGGTGCTTGCACAACTCACCACGGCCTCCGCGCAGTTTCGGACGACAGAGCTGCACACAAAGCCGTAGATCTGAGCAGGCCTGATGTAACGGAATGCACAATGCAGACGTCAGTATTTTGGAGCTGCGGCCATCTTCGCAGTGCGTTCTCCTCACTGCTCACCCCGGGCAGCGTGCACCCTCCTTCTTCTTTGCTCTCAGGTGTGAGCTTCTCATACGAGACTGCTGGCTCACTTCTCTCACTTCGCCTGCGGATCCGATAGGGCCTGCAGATTCTCGAGAGGTGCCGCTGGAAGCATGCAGCCCACACTGCTCGCTGCAGATCCCAGAACAGCAAAAGACCGAGCCTCTGTACATCGCCCTCGGCACTGCACAAGTGCAAGCTCTTCGGCATCACTTCCCCCGCCCCACGACACTCGCGATGCCTGCAGCTGCAACGAACATCAACGAACTCCGCTCACTGGCTTGTGTAGACATGTCATCTTTAAAGACCACTCCGCCTGAGAGTCCTGTGATCGCGCAGTGTTTTCCGCGCAACTGCAGGAGACGCAACTTCCTCGGCAATTCGGCACAGAAAGTGAAGCATCCGTTGTGAACGCACCCTTGTTGGTCAGTGCATTGGAAACATGGAACTTGCAAGTAACTGCCGCCCGACGGGTCCATTCTGGCTGCTGGCTTGGACAGGCTCCGGAACAGATGCTGCCACCTTGAGTTTCGCGGAACTCTACTGGGAATGATGGCGAAGCAGGCTGGGAACTGCAACATCATCAGGTGCTTCACAGTGGATTTCAATGACTTCTGCAACTTCAATTGCGGTACTTCCTTCTGGGGATTCGGACGCTAAAGCAACTACGGAATCGAAAATCTTTCCATCAGTTGTCCACCATTTCCGTTAGAAATTCGCGCAAATTCGCTGTTGTAGTTGACGTCGCCAGAACTGCTGGCGGAGCTCCCCCCGCAAATTCAGAGATAATTAAACTCTAACAGGCGTTGGGGTTGGCACTTTTCGGCTTGGGTCGCCCTCGCCGATGCCACTGCTGCGCTTCGGGTTCATTTTCGAGTTCATTGAAGGCTAACTGCAGCTGTACATGCTTGCGACAGGACAAAACGCGGGACAGTTGGCCCTGATTCCAGGATCAGCGCACCAGCGCGACGAGATGCGGCTAGAGGACCATGGGATCCAGCGACGGTTGGACCGAAGGCAGGGATCAAAGCCTTCCCAACCAACTTTGCGAAGAGAGGAGTGCCTTATCCGGCACGCCTCAAGATCAAAAAAACTCAAACACGTCACTCTGGTGCTGTTGAGATGTCACCGCTTTTCATGGGATCTGAATGGAAGATTTGCTTATACGTTCCTCATGTCTTCGTTTCCTTCTACTAACTAGCTTTTTGCTTCCTCCCCTCCTTCCGCCCTTCCTCCCTGTCCTTCGGATATTCTACGATTGTAGGATATGCCCGAGGGAACGAAGACGACACTTCTACAAAAAGATATTTTGTCCCTCCTCAGCTGGTTGGTCAGACCACCCTTCCACTTCGCTGCTCCGCTCCAGTCTAGCCGAGACATGCTTGTACTAAACTCACAGGGAAGGGAGCTTCGGGACAGAGTTGGGAGAGCTTCAACTGCAAGTCCCTGAAATCACGAAAAGTGCCAAACCTCCGACGAGAACTTTCGTCTGCCTTCCGTGGCTCGTGTTGCATTTGGGACTTCGAGGTAGGTTACGGTCAGCACCGGTCTGTCATGCGAGAAACTGATGCAAGTCCTGGTCCGTAAGTTTTCAGCCGCAACTGCAGTGGCTAGACTGTCAGCCCAAGGAGCCTGCGATCTAGTTATACCCCACCAGAACGCATGCACGTTGAATCGGATTTCGAGCTCAGGCACGGCTGAGGGCTCGGAGGGTGGAGTGCAAGCCTGAAGGCAGAGAGACGACACTTTGCAGACTGAAAGCGGTGGAGTCCCAGACGACTGCTTGTCTGGATTCGTGGAGATAGGAACATGTTCCATCACTCGGCATTGTTTTACTTTCCTGAGCCACCGGCGGGAGAGTGTGGCGATGCTCTGTCAGCAGAAGCCGCCTTTGACTGCTCCACGAACTCTTGCGGCAAGTCCTCGACAACCTCCGGCCAGGTCACAAGCATGCCTGAATTGACCGAAGCCGCTGTCTGGAATTACTCGACATACGCACAGGAAGTAAAACTCTGTACAGGCTGCGCAGAACAAGAAACACATGGAACATGGACTTCACAACGTTCGCTTGGTGCCTGGGTATCCGCGTAGCAGACGGCCATGTCAACTCGGAACAGGGCCAGGAAATCATACATAACAAGTGCTGTCTTGCTGATCTTGTTCCAAATCTTCCGCAGCCACAGATGCGAGCGGTGAGTCGACTAGCATCCCTGTGGCCAAAAGACCCTTCACAAGCTTGGCTTGCCGTGTGACCCCACCAAAGGTCGGCGGTTTCACACGTGTGTCGCTACTCTCGAAGGCAAGACCTGCACCACTCAGTTTTAAAACCAGTGCAGTAGCTACTTATTTGATACCGACCTTCGTCGGAGAACAAATTTATAATATATTTATATAAAGGTGGACAAGTTCCGGAAAGCTGAAACGTTCAAGAAGCAACAAATTCAGAAGACAAGACCAGTGAAACAGGCCGACCAAGCTGAAACGCAAATCAAAAGCTTCTACAGCTGTCTCTAGGTCAACCTCCAAGATTCTGTACATGGATTCCTGCGACTTGCTCCAAAGTTCCCAAGTGTGATAAGCTCGACTGTGCCGGGTTCTTTTCGCGTCTTCCCAAATAAGGACTATGTGCTGTTGGTACAAGCACGTACTTACACTCGGACAAGTCATGCAAAGGCTGCGACAATGGCCCGATGGGGCGAAAGCAAGTGGATGCTAGTTGTCTTGAACCCGGTACCATGTGCCTTCATGGGTATTTTCCGAATTTGATCATCGCCTATCCCACTGGTTGACGAACAGATGCCCAAGGACTCATGATGCGCATGCCGTGCCAAACTTTGTCGGATTCTCTCGGTGCCACACTTCATTTAAACTAAATAATGAAGATGTGCAAGTCCAAGCGGCGTGGCATGGCCAACTTCGGCACCAGGCCTCAAATCTTGTGGGCTTCGACTTCAACATGTTACAACTGCTGCTGTCTAGGCTAGTCGCTTCGGCCTCCAATGGGAAAAGCAGACGGTCGTGCATCCTCGAAGTCCTGCATCGAACAAAGAGTTCCAACTAGTTCAGGCTCTTAACAAGATGACTGCACAGCAAGTACTCAAGTTTGTGGGGAAGTCATGACTAAGCGCCTGCAGTCAGAGCAGATGGGTCTCCTTCTCTGGTTCTGACTTGTTGTACAACTCTGCGTGTCTACCGCTGTTCAAACGCTTAAGCTACTGGTCGTCAGCAAGGCCTCTTGACTCAGACTATCCACACAATGCTCAGGGTCGGGGTCTTGACCCAGCGGTGCAAAATTCACCAGGCAATGCAACAGCTTCGTCTCTATAGGGCAGTCAAGTGTTTAGCTGCTCAATTCTGGTCCAAACATGTGTGCTTGGCTTGGCTGTACACTGTACCAGCCACGCAGCAAGCTGAGGGATAGACTTCCGTAGCTCGCCTTCATATGCGCCCGAAGCTACTCACGTTGTGGCAAACGTGCCACATCGCGAAGGTGGCCTGGAAACCGTCAATCTGCGTGTCTCCGAGCGCCCCCAAGGGCTCCTGCTTGGCAATGTTCATGCATTCAGGCTGGGCGCGAAGCATGGGAACATTATGGACACGGAACATTACTTACCTTTCGATCCCTCACTTCATCCTCTCATTCCCTTGCCACATCACCACTCCCTTGCCACATCACCCGTCTCTATGATGTTCCTTCCTCGGGCGTAGGGAATCGGCGTTTGGCTCGGCTAATACCACTTGGCGATGGTGAGGTGCCCTCTCCCGGGTCTTCGTTTCCCCTTTTCGGTAAGCTGTTGCCCACATCTGCCCATAACCTTGTTTCCAGCTTGCTCCAAGAACTAGCTACCTGAGCTTTTTTGAACCCAGACCACCGAAAGATATTTACACTCTCCCAACTCGGACATGCCAGGCGAAGTCTCAACCGAAAGCCATTTAGGAGATCAAAGGGGCGAGAGACCTGCTACAGCTCTCAACGAGTCGTGGCACGCACACCCTGCAGGCCTTAGGTTTTGTCCTGCCCTCGCGAAGCCCCAGCCGAAGATAAAAATCACCAGCACTCCCGTTGCCAGTGACACTATCAAGCTCAGAAGGTACATACCAAGTTCATGCGGCCATCTCGATCGTACCGCAAACTCGTATCCTAGAGGTTGTGTCCCACACTTCGGCGCAAAAAACTGAAAAGAGGGGGAAAAGTGCCAAGGGGGTGGACGGGTGGACCAGCGTAGACATGCGTAGATTGGAGACCACCACCGCGCCAGCGACACCTCTTGCAAATGCCAAACAGGAAACAGAATTCCATCGCCGTGTCACCGGCCTGTCGGTACAGTTAGACTATGCTTGCTGCCCCGGCTGCGGTGGTCGCCACTTCAGAGAAACCGAGACAGAAGCTGCAAACATCACACCATTGCTTCAGAGAAACTTTCTCCGCAACACGAGGTCTAAAGCCGGGGTCCCCAGGAGCCAAGCATCACATCCTTCGTTAAGTGCCGTGCATCCTGCACAACTATTCTAGAACCGTCCCCCAGAAGGAAACCCTGCAAAGAAGCCGAAAAAAACAGCAGTTGGTCAGCAGTTGGTCAGAGTTCCCTCTGCCTCCAAAAGCTCGCCGTCGAGCTGGGAATCGCGAAGAGTATCACTGGCTTCCTCTCCAGCCTGGCCCTGGCCGCCTCAGCTCAAAACCACCGAAACTCAATCTGACTCTGCTTCTGACAACTCACCAAGCTTCTTCCCATTTCTGCTCGGCGTGGTGAGCGGCTGCGCTTGCGTCCTGAAAACGTAGCAGCGCATGGCACTCTCAATAACAACTCCAGGCAAAACTTGTCCAGATTTCTTGTGTCTGAAGAGGCTCGCATCCACTGCAAAACGTGAGCGACTTGCCGCTACCATTCGGCCTTTTCGGTCTGCTGGTGCATGAACGCCTGGCCACTCCTGGTGTGCAAAAGCATGCTCCACATGTCTACGGTGGAACCGAACGGGATCAGTATGGAGAAGTGATGTGGTGGGGTCGCGTCGCAGGCTCTGTACCTTAGACCTAATTTGCATTGCAAAGGATTCTCTTCCATGCCAGCCTTATCATATTCTTGACGGCTCAAAAACACTGGCCAGCCACAAGATGCTCTACAACAAGGGGAAGCACTGCAGCATCACGGGATGGCAAATCGACATCCACAAGTATCGAAAGCTTGTGCAACTTGTGCTAGCTGCTAGCGACTTGTGCCGCGAGCCTTCTGGGAACCTACGCTCGACAACCTTTTTCTAGGCCCTCCTGCTCGCTTTGTGGGCTCCGCAGACTCCGCAGGCCAGGCATCACCAGGTCACCATCGACAATCATGAAGTGCAGCTGTCCTCGGATTGCTTGCGAATGTCCTGAAGGCCAGTCGGAAATGCGATCATCGCTTCTCATACAAGGACTAGCACGAGCAGCTAGCATGACGCGGTGGGCTTTAGAGCTGCATCTTCTGGACATGGCCCGTGACGATGGTCACAGTCACAGAGGCCCAAATCTCTGAGGTGTTTCTGAGCCAAGGAACGCAACTTTGGCTCCGAAGTCTGGCAGCTCTCCACCACATCCGCAGCGTTGGACACGACACTCCTTTGTTACACACGCAAGCTGCTTGCAGAATTTGCCCAAGTTTCGCAGAGTTGCTCCAACACGACTCCAAACCGCCCGCGGAGCGAAGCTGCTGGCCGAGAGCTGGGGACAGCCGACGAGCTCAATGTGGCTTCTCAAAGCGTGGCTCGCTGATGCTCACTGTGCAGCTTGAGCATCACATCCCCGCCGTTGCCAGCACGCTTGCGCCCAAATTCCAACAGAAAGTCTGCAACGCGACAGCCGGGTGGCACGCACTGTACCTTAGGTGTCTAGGAACTGCAGTGCATTCTCTGTTTGTGTCAGAATCGCACCCGATCATTGCAGCAGGCCTGTCTCAGAGCTAGTCGAACAGCATGACACCCCGGCATTCCATTCAGAGATGACTCTACTTCGAGTAAACCTGGTAAATGACTAATTAGATTGATGATGACGCCATGCCGTCTGCATAACTTTGCACATCAATGTAGTAATCTTCTTGCCACCAAGGTGATCTCATTGCAGTCAAAACTTGGGACTAGAGACTGTGCCGACAGTACTGCAAGCTCTCGACGGTCAACCTTGCATGTGCCGCACCTGCAAGCGTGCACCAGCTCGCTGCAGGTGTGTTCTGCAGAATCTAAGAAATGCCAAGTGCTGTCTGATGAGCCCAGGAAGGAGGCAGCGTTGCATCGCTGGAACTGGCTTGAAGCCGGCCGAAACCTGTCAACCACACATTCGGTGCTGCTTTGGTTGCCCATGTACTCTCAGTTGATTTTCTGGTCAAACACCTCATGGCATGCAAAGCCGAAGTCAAACGTGGACTTGTCTAATTCGGCCCGGTCGACCGTGAATGTCAACGAAAACTCGAACACGGCTTGCCTCAATTCGGGCTGCAAGCGCAACGCAATCAAGCTCCAGTTCAATGCATGCATGACTGCATTTATGCATCTCTCTCTCCCGGGAATGGGGGTTTGTCGCAGAGTCATCCTACACGAGCAAACGCGCAGAAAAACACCGCATCACGAACGTGCCAAAGGTCACAGCCTTCCAAGGGCACACGCACCCAACCATCACGCCACCGCAATGCGCCAGGCATCGCAGACAAGGGTGAAGCACCCAATTTTTTGACCAGTGGTGGTGCCCTGCATATTAACCCAACCATGACCCAGGTAAGCCAAATATACGTCTGTGCAGACATATTCGTTGTGTATGTGTACATGCGATATGTATGTATATATATATATATATATATGCTAACCCCCCCCCCCCCTAAAACTGCCACGAGGTGCCGCGATAGCTCCAGCAACCCTCCCAGGTTTAGGCTTCTGG